GGGTGTCGGCCACCCGGCAGGCGTGTGAAGTAGAAGGGGCTGCCTCGGGTGTGAATGCAGCGCCAGGTATGAGCTCAGCAGGTGTGGGGCATGGGGCATAGGGCACCCGGGGTCAGGAGCCAGCCAGGGAGTTTCGCTACGTCAGGAGGTGTGAGAGACACAGGCCTGGGCAGAGAAGCATAAGCCTTTTCCCAGGGAAGCTACTTCCTGGACAGGGCTCAGTTCCACCAGGCACCTGCCAGGCAGAAGCCTTGGACCACTCCTGCAATCTGCCCCTTTCCCATGGACAAGCGAGCGCGAAGGAGGGGAGTCTACAAGCTATGCAGGTACCTCCACTTCTCCATCTAGAAAATGGAAACATCAACCACACCCACCCTCGAGGTCATGACAAGGAATAAATGAGATCATATAGCAAAGCATCCAGAACTGGGACTAGCAGATGGCCTAATGGTTACGTTGCTGAACACTCACATGGCCAAAAATGAGACCCAGCAGCTTAAAACTCACATCGAGTGATTGTGCATGCTTGTCAAAGATCTCAGAAGAGAATGGACTGCAACATGGCCATCTCCCCGAGGGGTGATTTCTTACTATTTTTTTAAAACATTATTTTATTTAACCTTATTTTAATTTGACCAGAGTGGGACAGAGAGAGCAAGAAAGAGGGAAAGTGAGAAAGCATGCCGCCAGCTCTGTGAGAGCCCAGCACCCTTAACCATCACACCACCTGCCCCCCCACCTTATTTCTCACTCTCACTATGGCTCTCTCTGACCCCTACCCTTCCTTCCCCTCTCCCATAAGGGAATGGCCCTAAGGCAAAAAATGCTTTTAAAAGAAAAGAAAAGAAAAGAAAACAAAAGAAAAGAAAAGAAAAAAGCAATAGTGCCTTTTGAACTATAGTTCAAACTACCCACCTTCAATGGGGGAAGGAAGAAAATGTTAAAAGGTTAAGTGGAACCACAAACCCTCTACTTCATAAATATGTACAGACTATTATTCATATTTAAATAAACACTTTTACTATGAACAAGTTTTCTTTTTTAAAATTTTTTGCCAGATGACACACGCAAGAAAAAGTAAGAAAGCTTCCCACCATGGGGCATGGCCACATCACAACCCTCTCTACTTCTCACCCTTTCAGGATTTTAGGCACACACTAAGGGCCCTGCATGCCTTTCAACCAGTAGGCCATGTGTGATCCAGCTGCCCTAATCACCATACCACTGGCTGGCCCATAAAAAGCCTTATTTGAATGATTATCCAATGGAAGTATAAAACTTTAAAAATACTGCTATTGGGACCAGCAGTTAGCATAATGGCTATGTCGCTGAACTCCCATGTAGTCGACCACGATGAGTCCTGGACCCAGTGGTTTAAACTCACGCCAGGCCTGTGTGCATGCGTGCCTAAGATCCCAAGAGGAGAAAAGAGAAGGGACTGCGGTGTGGCCATCCCCCCGGGGGGTGATTTCTCGCTTTCTATCTCTCTGTCTCTGTCCTTCTGGTGAGTGCACATGTCCTACAGCAAAAACCTCTTCAAAAAAAAAAAAAAAAAGAAGAAGAAGAAAGAAAAAAAGATCAACTCTTAAGATATCAGTATGCAACACACATGCATAAATAAGGATGTTCACACTGAATTATAAAATAATGAATGGGAAACTAAGTATCAATGATATTGGTTAGTAAGTTGTGATGCACCTTTACAATTGGAGTACTATGCAGCTAATGAAAAGGATTCTGTGCATCTACACTTGATGACATTACTAAATAGGAAAACAAACAAACAAAACAAAGCATAGGGTCAGCAGGTGGCGCTGTGGCTGGGGCACTGGACTTCCACATGGCCGACTAGTTTAAGTACTAGACCTGGCAATGTGCTTTCTCACTTACCCTCTATCTGCCTCTGATCCATTTTTTTCCCAAATAATAAAAAACTAAATAATTCTTCAAAAAAAAAAAAAAAGACAAAATGAAGACTTTTTAAAAGACTAAACATTATAGTTCACATTTGTGAGCAATTATGCAGAAATCTTTTAAGCTATCAAAGGCTATTCTGTAAAGAGAGAAGATTAAAGATGTCAGGACTTTATTTCCTCTTCCTTTGTAACTGTTAAGAGACATACTTGACTTCGCCTATCAGCAGGCTTGTAGTGAAAATGTACTTTCACGTACATACTCTGTATGATATTGTATTATCACTATATTAACTTCACTTTTCCACAAACAGGAAAAGCGCTTGTCAGGAACATAAGAAACTAACACCAAAATGAAAATGACCGTATTTTCAATATGTTTCTTCCATACTCCAATGATAATGTCTTTTTGGTAATGATTTTATATTGAAAAATTTGTGAGTTATCTTGGTAAGAGTATGTAACAAATACTATGACTTTTTAACCTGATTCCAAAGTCACAATAATCCAGGAGTTAACAAAGCCTTACATAGCTTGAAAATATGAATTTAAGCGAACTCTCCCACTGAATTACCCTCCCTTCTCAATAGTGGAGAAATGAGATAGTCTTGCTTGGCAGCAGAGTTCACAAAACTGATAAGCCTATGCCCTCAGAATAAACCACGTGCCAACTATCAGGGACCTGCAAGAATACACTATAACTTAAAATGATCAAATACGGTGGGGGATCCAAGCGCTGAGTCATTTTTGGCCCCCTATATAAAGAAAATCAGTTCTACCAGGAATAGCATTCAAATGACAAAGAAATGAGTATAAAATTTCACTTCGGAATTCCTCGCAAGTTAGGCACTATTCCAAGGATGAAGTCTCCTATATCCATCAGCAAATAATGTCCACAAGAATGATAAGAATGAAATAGCTACACTCACAGACAAGAAAACTGGACATTTTTATCAAAGTTATCTGTTTAGCAAGAGACAGGAAGCAACTATATATACAAATGATGGGACCACTAATCTTGAAAAGTATTTTACAGATGCAGAGACATGAGTGGGGAAAGTCATTCCTCTCCAGGATAAATACTTTGTTCCCATCTGGCCTCTTGTGAGAAACATCAACCGCATCCTAGCTAGATGAACAGCAAGTTTTGCCTTAAGAGTCAAGAACCAAGAGTTCCCTACTTTACCAACTCATTATAAAGTCATTAAATTAGGCTGCAAGGACTGTCAACTACAATATTAGGCTGCGTGCTAAAAAGCAGGGTTCTTGATCCTACTAAAACTCTGCGAAGTTACACAAGTCACCTTTTCTAGTATTCATTTCTTATCCTTTCGGTGGAAGCAATCATACTCACTATTTAAAACTGCTTCCTTCTCTAAGGGTCTACCTTTGACCTACAGCTCAAATGCACTGCTGGGTTTTTTGTTGTTTTTTTTTTTGCCTTTTTTTGGTGGGGAGTATGTGGAGGCTGTCCTTCAATGTCAGTATATTATTACAACGTCTAATAGCATAAACGGTTAAAATTGTGCTCTCCACATTCAACACATGGGAAGGTAGGAAGAAGTGCATCCCATCCTGGCTTGTACTATACTGCACAACGACGCTGAACAGGTTACCTGGAAATCACCCAGAGGACGGACTCCAGGTGACTAAAACTGCAAAGCTTTCAGATGACCTGATACAATGATGGTGTTACACACACGCGCAAAGATAAAAGTAGGCAGAGTATTTGGATGTTCGGCCTTTTGTTGGCTTTGCCTCCAGTGTTTAAACAGATCTCTGTACTTCAAAAACGTAACGTGTCCTAACTACAGTTTTAGGCTGTTTATGTCAGAGTTTTCGCACGCTGGGGGGTGGGTGGAGAATGATGATTTCGATGCAATTGTTTCGGTTAATAGCTAAATTCCTCTGGACCTTAAAAGGGAAAGCAAGCAAGTCTGGAACCCCCGAGTCTGTGTTAAGGGTTTCAAACTCAGCCTCTACGGGGGCGACGTTTTGCTGTAAATACTAAAGCGAGTTTTCCATACTGCCTTCTAAGTGGTGCCCCCGGGACCCTGGGGGGCCTCGGTTTTGGCCAAAGCAGGAAATAGAGGAGATGGCGGGAGCGTCGGCCGACAGCGGAAGTTTGCCTGGTGCCTACTTTGAAGTGTTTGAATGGGCCGAGCCTCGCTCTC